AATTAAATCTGAAATAAAAAAACTTTATGGAAACAAATGATAATGAGTACATAAGTTTCCATAATCTATGGAATACTGCAAAAGCAGTCTAAGAGGGAAATTCATAGCAGTTAGTGTATTGCATAAGAAAAGGATGGAAAGGTGGCAAATAGACAACCTAACATCATGCTTCAGGGAATGACAACAACAGCAACAACAACAACAAAAACGCCAGGAGAAAAGGAATGATAAAGATTCAAGCAGAAATAAATGAAATAGAAAATAAATTAACTATACAGAAAATAAATGAAAGCAAAAGCTGGTTCTTTGAAAGGGTTAACAAGATGGACACAGCATTAGCTAGACTGATTAAGAACAAAGAAAGGAACTAGATAAATTAAATATGTAACAAAACAGGCAACATTACCACAGACACAATAGAAATACAAAACATCATTAGAGGATACTATAAGTGATTATATGCCAACAAACAAGAGAACATGGAGGAGATGGGCAAATTTCTGGATGTATATAATCTACCAAGATTGAATCAGGAGGATGTAGAAGGCCTGAATAGAGCATAACAAGCCAGGGGATTTAATCAGTAATAAATAGTCTCCTGATAAAAACCAAAACCAAGCCAAAACAAAACAAAACACCCAGGTCCTGATGGCTTCACTTCTGAATTCTACAAAGTTTTTAAAGAAGAGTTAAGTTATTTCAAAATAGGGGCCTGCAGGTGGTGTGGTGGTTAAGGACACTGAACTCCCACATGGCTGACCGTGGTTCAAGTCCTTGACCTGTTGGCTGGCTTTCTCACTTTCTTTCTCTCTCACTCTGTCCCTCTATGGTCAAATTAAGAAATATAAATAAGTAAATAAAGTTAAATAAAATAAATCTTTAAAAAAATTATTTCAAAATATCCAAAAGAAAGGAAACCTCCCAAATTCATTTTATGAAACCTCTATCTTCCTCATTCCCAAAACAGATAAAGACATGACAAAAAATAAAAAATACAGACCAATATCTCTGATGACTATAGATGCAAAATTTCTCAACAAGATACTTGCAAATGGTATCCAACAACATATAAAAAGATTATTTATCACAATCAAGTAGACTTTATTCCAGGGGTGCAAGGGTGGTTCAACATATGCAGGACCATAATCATTATACACCATATTAACAGAAAGAAAGATAAAAACCATATGATCATTTTGGGGCCAGCAGTTAGCATAATGGCTATGTCGCTGGACTCCCACGTAGTTGACCATGGTTCGAGTCCTGGACCCAGTGGCTTAAAACTCACGCCAGTTGAGTGTGCGTGCGTGCCCAAGATCCCGAGAGGAGAATGGAGGAGAAGGGATTGCGGCATGGCCATCCCCCCAGGGGGTGATTTCTCACTTTCTGTCTCTGTCTCTCTCTCTCTGTCTGGCGAGTGCATGCACCCTATAGCGAAAACCTCTCCCAAAAAAGAAAAAAATATATGATTATTTTAACCGATGGAGAGAAAGCATTCAACAAAATAGAACATCCCTTCATGATTAAGATTTTTGGCAAGTTGGGCATAGAAGAGCCCAACTCTGAACGAGGAAACACTAGGTACTAGACAAGGCTGCCCTCTTTCTCCACTTCATTTCAATTTAGGGCTGGAAGTATTAACCAATGCAATCAGTAAAGAGAACAATATAAAAGGCATTCAAATAGGCAAAGAAGAATTGAAAATATCTTTATTTGCAGATGGCATGATGGTATTCTTAGAAGACCGAAAGGTTCCCATGAAAAATTTTGAAGTAATAAATGAATACAGTTAAGTGGCAGGATAGAAAATCGACATCCAAAATCTATAGCATTTTTATATACTAACAACAAGTTGATGGAGATAATACTGAAGAAAATAGTCCCTTTTACCATAGCCACAAAATGTATAAGATACCTAGGATAAACCTAAGTAAGGAAGTCAAAGATCTTTGCAAAGAAAACTATGAAAATATTAAAAAAATATATTGAAAATGACACAAAAAAGTGGAAGGACATCCCATGTTCCTGAATTGGAAGAATTAATACAATCAAAATGGCAGTTCTACCCAAATTAATCTACATATTTAATGCACTTCCAATCAAATTACCAGGGACATTCTTCACAGATCTAGAAAAGACAATAATAGAATTTGTCTGGAATCATAAACGACCTCATATTGATAAAGCAATCCTGCACAAGAAGAGTGGAGTGGGCAGCATCTCACTCCATGACCTCAAAATATCCTATAAAGCTGTGATGATCAAAACAGCATTGTATTGGAGAAAAAAAAAAAAAAACAGACAAATGGACCAATGGAATAGAATATAGACCCCAGAAATGAACCTCAAAATATATAGCCAAGTGATCTTTGACAAAGGATACAAATCAATCCAGTGGGAAAAAGGAAAACATCTTTAGCAAATGGTAAACTGGAAAAACTGGATATCCACCTGCAGAAGGATGAAACTGGATCCCCATCTTTCACCATTAACAAAAATAAACTCCAAGTGGATCAAAGATCTGAGCCTAACACTTCAAACTATAAAACTACTGGTGGAAAACACTGAGGAAACTCTGGGATACCTTGGGGGTAGGCAAAGACTTCCTAAATAAGACTCCCAAAGCACAGGCAATAATCCCCAAAATAGACAAGTGAGATTATTTCAGATTAAGAATTTTCTGCACAGTTTGGGACACAGTAATTAGTGTTAAATGACAGCCCTTAGAATGGGAGTATATTTTTGTTAACTGTGCATCAGATAAGAGACTAATAACCAGAATACACAGGAACTCAAGGGGCTTAAAAAAAAAAAAAGATTAACCCAATTAAAAGATGGGAAAATAAATGGAATAGAAAACTCTCCTAGGAAGACATATGAACACCAAAAAGTACATGAGGAAATCCTCAACATCCCTCATCATAAGGGAGATGCAGATTAAAATGACAAAGAGATACCACCTAACCCCTGTCCTAATGGCAAAGATTAAAAATACAAAAAGTGATCAGTGTTGGTGGGTTGTGGTGAAAAGAGAACTCTCCTACACTGTTGGTGGGAATGTAAATTGGTCTGGCTACTGTGGAAAGCAATAGGGAGGTTTCTCAAAGACCTACAAATAGAACTACCATATGATCCAGTAATCCCACTCCTGGGTATTTACCCAAAGGACAGGAGAATGCTCAGTTGGAAAAGTGCTTGCATATCAATGTTTATTGAGACATTATGCATGATTGCTAAGACATGGAACCAAGCCAAATGTCCATGAACAGATGAATGGACTGAAAAAGTATGGCACATGCACTCTATTGAATACTATTCAGCCATAAAAAATAACAAGATCCTGGAATTTGATAGAAAGTGGTCAAATATGGAAGATTTATTACTGAGTGAAGCAAGTCAGCCTATGATAGAAAACTATTGTATGTTTCCACTTTATATAAACTGACTGTCCACACTCTATGGTAGAGACTGAAAGGTTGGACAGCATAAAAGCAGTGAAAATAGTTATGGATGCTGGAGACAGTGTGGAAGGAGGGTGGGAGAAGGGAAGAGTATAGGGAAAG